CTTTATTTATCACTTAAGCCTTTGCTACCCCACAATGCCTAGAAGGAAGGTTTTATGTTAATCTGCAAACCAGAATAACAAGGCTTGAGGCAAAACCCCCTGTAAACTGCAGCCAGCCCTTCCACCTGTGCAGGAAAAGTAACTGAAGTGGTGCTTAATTAAATCACACTGGCTACGCACTGACTTAGTGCTTGAGCTGTGCCATGGAGAGACTGCACAGGCCTTACGGATAGAAAGTACACAAGGGTGGGGCTACCACCCTCCAGAAGCTCACATCCTGGCTGGGAAAAAGCCACACAGATAAGTAACTGACACTCCGTGTGCCAGCAGGGGTGGGTGCCGGGACCACCTGGGAATGGGCGAGCCTCCGCGTGCACGTGGGTTGTGCGCACATGTGTTACTCATTCTGACCGCCACCGTCTCGGAGGCCTGCCCTCTTCATCACGCGAGGAGCCACTGTCCCCATTCCCGGTGCTCCTAGTCATGCTGACCCTTCTTCCGGAAGTCTCCTCCTCCCATTCCCACGGAGGCCACCCCCCATGGATAGGTTCTATGGACAGATACCCCTTTGGGGGCCAGGCAGAGATACAAAGGGGGTGGTGCTTCTATGCCCAGCCAATCGCTATTAACAAACTGTCACTCAAGGTTGCCTTATGTTATTTTTACAGAGCACTTCGGGGTCAGACTTTTTGGGTGGAAATTTCTCTTTCTTAAATACCAGCAACAAACTCCATGAACGGAGACAGTGGGAGCCTCATCAGACGCACTGGGACAGCTGGCCTGCGGGCAGCCAGTGTGTGGCCCCTGTTCTGTGTATGCCGTGGCCTGTAAGCCTCACGACACCCCTGGAATACGTGTACTGTGGGGAAACTGAGGTGCCGAAGGTCACCCCGACAGGAAGGGGGGAGACGAGATCTCGGCACACAGGGCTCTCGCGTCAGTCTGCTCAGGCGTCTGTGACCTTCAAGGGGTTCCTTACATCTCCAGGGGCCTGCAGTCATACAGCAGCCTGCCCTGGGGCCGACTGCCCAGCCAAAGGCTTCTCTAGGGAACTGAACTTGCTCCTTGCTTTCTTTCCACTTTCAAGCAAAAACAAAAATCAAAACCAAAACCAGTCTACACGGAACAACCTTTATCCTACAGGTCAGGGATTAAGACGGGCCCCAGTGGGTCATCCCATCTCTGCGGCAGGCACTGGGGAACCCCTTAGCAGCCGTGTTCTCCAGGGCACCGCTGGGTTCCGGGAGGCTTTTCCTCCCCACCATGGGACCCAGCCCTCCCTCCTCACCTTCTCCCCACATCAAGGCTAGCGCCCCCCCGCCCCCGCCCGTCATTTAGTCAATCACATATCCTTGCAGCACTGAAGGGGGTGTGAACAACCAGGGATGAGGTTCCACTCTAGGATGGCTGCCCTACCTCCCAGAGGCTTCCTTCCGTGTGTCCACCCCTGTGGCCTTGTACTACTGAGGCCCCACCATCTCCCCTACAAGACAGCTTAGCCCCAGGGAAGCTAGACAGGGTGGCCGGGAAACCAAGGGGTAGCACTCGCATTCTCTCAACAAATGGGGCTGCTGGCCCTGGTGAGGGCACTGGGCTAAGTGTTGGGGACGCTGTGGGTTGGTCCTGGCTCAGTGCGCATCCTGCTGAGGGTATTAACAAAACCAGTCTCCACCCACAAAGCCAAGCCCACGGGTCCAAAGCAGTTTTTTCTTGTACACCTTTTCCCTCTCCTTGGAGTCAGTGCCTTTGCTTCTTCATGTTTGTTCGGTTTCCTACGTGCCATCCACTAATTCACGCTGACTCTGACAGACGAGTAGCTACCCGAGACACACACACAGAGCCAGGCACCTGTCACTCAGGGGTATGCTCTCCCCAGGGCCATCTGTTCTACCACTCGCTGAGCCTGGCTTCCTGCCCCTGCTTCTAGAACCCCACAGTTCCCCATCGTTGCACGGTGTACATCCGCCAGGAGCCTCCTAACAGGGAATGTGGACGAGGCCCTGAGTACAGACATGCCTGAACTTGTCCTAGTTCCTGACCGATGGCAAGGCTCAACACCTCGAACTTCCAATTCCCCCAGCTTCGGATACCCCAGGGCCCTCGGAGGTCTCCTCTCTGGAGGCTTCTTGCTCTAGATTTTCTGAAGTTGCAGGACGCGAATTTCTTTGTGTTCCTTAGGACAGGCACTGACAGGCCTCGGGATCTGGAAATGTAGGTCTTTCAGAGCCGAGAAAACGCCTTGCGTCGTTTCTCATAACCTCCCCTTCAGTCCTAGGTGTGCTCCCTCCCCCCCACCCCAATTATGTAGGTGGAGGGCCTCTAAGCTCAGTCTCTTCAACTTGCTTCTCCCATGTCCTATCTCTTCTGAGGTTTTGTTCTCTCTGGGAGATTTGACTTTATCTTTCGGTTTTCTTCACTAACTCTATCATTGCGATTAGTCCGAATTCTTTTATTTCCAAGTGTTCTTTCTTATTTTCTTGCTCATAGCCCCTTGCTCTACTTTCATGGATGCTATACCTTCTCTTTTCTGAGGGTCTTTTTCTTATTTGTAGATTTTCTTCCGCGCCCCACTTTGTTTCTACTTCCTGTTTGTTATTTTCTTTTTTTTTTTTTAGATTTATTTAATTGAAGGGCAGATTGACAGAGAGGGATGAAGAGAGACAGAGCTCTTCCATCTGCTGGTTCACTCCCCAAATGGCCACAATAGCCAAGGATGGACCAGGCTGAAGTCAGGAGCCAGGAACTCCATGCAGGTCTCCTGTGTGGGTGGCAGGGGCCCAAGCACTTGGGCCATCTCCCTCTGCCTTCCCAGGTGCATTAGCAGTGAGTTGGATTAGACCCTACAGCCGGGACTGGAACCAGCACCCATATGGAATACCGGCACGGCAGGCAGTAGCTTAACCTGCTATGCCCCAACCAAGGCTCCCGCCACTCTTTTAATGTTAGTTTTCCTCAAATATTTGGTAAAGCATTAAGATGCTGCCTAGGGGTGGGCATTTTGTCAGGTGGTTAAGATGCCCATGGGGCCTGTGCTGTGGCGCAGTGCGTTAAAGCCCTGGCCTGAAGTGCCAGCATCCCATATGGGTACCAGTTCTAGTCCCGGCTACTCCACTTCTGATCCAGCTCTCTGCTATGGCCTGGGAAAGCAGTAGAAGAAGGCCCAAGTTCTTGGCACCCTGCACCCGCATGGGAGACCCGTAAGAAGCTCCTGGCTTCAGATCGGCGCAGCTCCAGCTGTTGCGGCCATCTGGGTAGTAAACCAGCAGATGGAAGACCTCTCTCTCTCTGTTTCTACCTCTCTCTGTAACTTTTTCAAATAAATAAAGATAAATCTTTAAAATAAAAAAAGAAAATGCCCATATCCCACAGTAGAGGATCTGTTCCACGGCTCGCTGAGCCTGGCTTCCTGGGACTGCCCCTCACAGTGGAGTTCAACTCCCGACTCTGGCTCCTGACTCCAGTTTGCTGCTAATGCAGACCCTGGGAGGCAGCGTGATAGCTCAGTTAACTGAGCTCCTCCAACCCACACTGGGGACCTGGACTGCATTCCTGGCTCCTGGCCCCAGTGGTTGGGCATTTAGGGAGTGAACTAGTGGCTGGGAGATACCTTTCTCTATTTCTTTCTCTTTCTGCCTCTCAAATACGTAAAACTATATACATATATACATAAACTAAAACACTGTCGAGGTCCTGTGTTGTGGAGCGGGGGGGAGGAGGAGGGGACAGTTTGTCACCGTGTGGGCTGAGCCAGCACAGGTGGCTGTTTTGCTGGGAGACCCTCAGATTTCAGTATCGGGAGGACTCTTCTCTCAGAACAGCCAGCCTCCAGCCTTGGCCTAGGGGGCTGCAGTCTGCCTGTCAGTGTCCCAGGAGTCCACGCTCCCTCTTAGGAAGCTACCAGAGGATGTCACCATCAAATGATAGAAGAGACCAAGAGGCAGCACTACTGGGAAAGGAGGCTGAGGGAACTCTCACCAACAGAGACTGTCACCGTCCCCATTCTCTGCACCGCAGTGATCCCGGCCTGGTCCTATGTCTGCCTTGGGATACCGCCAGACTTCTGTCTTTGTGGGAAAGGCTGAGCAGTATAGGGAAGAGGGCCTAGGGGGACGTCTTCTCCCACAGATTGACAACCAGTCTTCTCCCCGCCAGGCCCATCCACCCTTGTGCCTTCCAAGGTGCCTGCAACCTGCAGCTGTTCCATTTATTTCCGGTTCTGAGCCGTCCATCCACACTGCCACCCTTCACAGGCGCCCAGCTCCCCTGGCTGCTCAGTCAGTCACCTTCAGTCCACCTGTGTCTGACGCCAAAATCTTGTCACCAGCCCTCCCCCCGCTACTTCCTGTCCCATCTTCTCTTGCCAGTCCCTTCTCTTCACGACTGGGGTGTCCGGGCAGAGGGCAAATGAATGCATTTATTCCCTCATCTTTAACTGAAAGCTCTGACTCCCAGCTTTTAAAATGATTCTGGCTCATCCGGACTGACAGTGATCAAGGAGGGGCCCCAGGAGGTTTTAGGGCGTCCCATCTTTCATTTCGTTGCTTTAGAAGTTTCAGATCCTATCTCTGCCATACAGAGCGCTTGACCTCTCCTAAGTTACTTGCATTTTCACTTGAATTTTCTGACATGTGAAACAGTGACAACAGCACCGACCTTACAGGGCCAGGTGACAAGGCCACGTGGCACAAAGAGAGGTTCTTGGGGAAGGCTGGCTGAAGAACAGAGAGGCTTAGTGTAAGGAGCAAAGGACACCACGAACTTGGCATGTTGGGGGGTGCAAACCGGCCCCGCTTCCATTTGGCAAACATTCCGCACGTGCTTCTTACAGGGAAGGACTTGAGCCAGGCACGGAGGGGTAAAGAGTTGAATAAATAAGTGAATCATCCCACTGCAGGGCAGAGGGTACCCGGAGAGAAAGGCTGGGCTGGGAAGACGGACAGGAGCCATCGGCCGGGCCAGGCCAGCCCACCCGGGACCCGAGCCGAGCCTTGGATCTTTACCTTTCTTGGTCTTACAGGGCCCACATTCAGGGTGAATCTCTTGCAAGGGAAGAGACACGACCTTGGCGAGTCCGGCATTCAGCATGTACTGGTACAGGCGCTTAAACGTCCTTTCACACAGCCCCTGCCAAGACAAAAGCGACTGTCAGGCGCAAGCGAGGAATCCGAAACCACTGGGGAGCTGCGGACCTGAGCCAGTGCAGGGCCTGAGCTACTGGGCTCTCCTGAGTGGAGAAACGCTGGAGGCGCTGACCAGCAAACACTGCCAAGGAACGCTCTCAAGGAATACAACGAGGCCCAGAGCCCTGGTTTCCAAACACCACCTTCTGACAGGGACAGGTGTCTGCCTGACGAGATCCCAAGGGGAACACAGGGTGGGAACGAGGCAGGTGGCCGCAGAGACGGAAGCAGACTTTTCACGCGGGCCCTTTCACAGTGTGTGGATCTTTTTAACCATGTATGAATATTAATCATTAATAAATATACACACATACATCTCCTGCAGGTAGGGGAACAAATAGGAGAAAATATACCTTAAAATGCCTTTTGGGATGTTTTTAAGAAAGTTGTTCCGCTATGAAGTTACAACAGAACGATGAGGGTACATCCAGGGTACTGCTCCTACTTCTGCCCAGGAGGAGAGGACCACAATGATCGTACGCACAGTCTCACCGCAGGGGCCGTCAAAGGCACGCCTTTCCCTCTACGTGTTTATGATTGATTTGAAAGGCAGAGACAAAGAGGGAGCAAGTCAAAGACAGGGACAGAGGATGGTGCTCCTGTCCACTGATTCACTCCCCAAATGCCTGCAACAGACCGCAGCAGGGCCAGGCCAAAGCCAGGAACCCCATCCAGATCTCCCATGTGGGCGGTAGAGCCCCAGGTACTGGAGCCATCCCCAGCTCAGGAAGCGGGAATCGATAGCGGCACTGGGACTTGAACCTCCAATATGGGATACGGGCATCCTAACTAGCGTCTCACTTGCTCTGCCAAATGCCCACGGCCACATGTTTCTGAAAAAAGTAATTCACTTCCCAACATCAGGGTGAAAGATTTCGTATCAGGGGGACAAAAACCCCAGAAACCAGATTCTGGTTTCCCTTAAGATATAAGATCTGGCAACCAGTGCCAGAAGTGCAGCTGCCCGAGCCCCCACTGCTCCCGGAGTTGGCGCGAGCCGAGGACCGGCTGCTTCCGTTCAGCAGGACATGCCGTCCCCAGGGCCGCGGTCTTCATGCTCCCTATCAGAACCGTGGATGGTGAAACCGAAGGTCAGCTGCCGTTTATCCCCATTTCTGGGCTGCTTTTCTGTAGCTGTCATTGAGAGGAAAGAGCATTTCCTAAGGCAGCGTTGTCCTACACTGGGCCCATCTGGCTCCTGTGTCCCACCCTCCTGACCACTGCTGCTATTGGACTGTGTAGCACCTGGAAGAGAAAGGCAAGGTACCACTGCTCTAAGGTACAGACTGGACTGGAGGAGGCACGCCGGACTGAGGGCTGCTCTGTGCCTCTCCTAGGCTTCCTCTTATCCTCCAAGAGAGAGGCAGGGAGCAGACAGACGCCTGGGATGGCTTCCTCCACACAGGTGGATGCTCAGCAGAACATATGGGCACCCAAAACCACAGATGACTCCCACGGGGCCCATTCAGACCCAGTGGCTTGTAAATGGCGTCCATCGTTAATCTAGCCAGGCCCCCAGCATCACAGAAAGACCCTATGGAAACTTATCCATCAATCCCCTAGCCTTCAACATATGGCGCGAGGCCTGGACCACCCTAAGTGAGCAAGGATGATGTAATCCTGCCTTCCAGGGGCTGTCATCAAGGACTCATACCATCTGCCCAGCAAAGAGAGGGGGGAGCAGCAGGAGCCTCCTCACCCTTCAAGAGACAGCACCCAAGTTCATGGCCCCAGCCTCATCCTAGACTGACTCTTCACCAAACCCCTCTCAGCCTTCTCTGACTCCTGCTGCTGACAGCCATGGCCAGCAGAACGTCCCAGAAGATCTGCACACTCAATAAATCTTAAAATCAAAATTGTCAGGCCGGTGCTGTGGCGTAGAGGATAAAGCCTCTGCCTGCAGTGCTGGCATCCCATATGGGCGCCGATTTGAGTCCCGGCTGCTCCACATCCAATCCAGCTCTCTGCTGTGGCCTGAAAAAGCCACTGAAGATGGCCCAAGACCTTGGGACCCTACACCCATATGGGAGACTGGGAAGAAGTTCCTGGCTCCTAGCTTGCAATGAATCAGCCCAGATCTGGCCCTTGCGGCCTTTTGGGGATTGAACCAGCAGATGGAAGACCTCTCTCTCTCTCTCTCTCTCTTTCTCTCTGCCTCTCTGTAATGCTGCCTTTCAAATAAATAAATACATCTTTAAAAAAAATTCAAATCTATCCTGTGCCTCCTTCTCTCCCAACTGCTGTGTGCTTCACTCAAGCATCCATCTGACAAGCATCCACCAGGCCCCAGCACGGCCAGGCACTGTCCTCTCTGAGGAGCTTCGGCTGTGACCAAGCTCCCAGGCACCTTGGCCAGCAGCACCCGCTCTGACCATGGAAGCTACATGGACTTCATCTTCAGGTCCTTCTGCTTCCTGCACATCGACCTCCTGGCTCAGCCACTCACCGATTCGTTTCACCCCTAAAATGCTTCTCAAAACAATTCAGGCCTCCCTGGCCACAGCTGCCACCCTCACCCATTTCAATGGCCCTCCCTTGGCCTGTCCATCTTCCCCAAACACTCAGCAGTGCTCCCGCCCAAGGATCAGCATCATAGGTCTCCTTTCTTTTCCAGCCATCCCCCCAGCACCCCACTATCAGCCACTCCCAGTGACCTCTACAAACGTCCCACGGGCTCCCCAACTCTGGGCCTCTGCGTGAGCTGCTCTCCTCGGCTGAAATGCCAATGCACCTGTCCGCCTGGGCAAGGCATCCCTGGAGTGTCACTTGCCCTGTGAAGCTGTCCCCGGCCTCTGTCACTGAGCTCGGAGGCATTCTTCACCTGCCCCTCCATTAGAACAGCTCTGGGACACAGACCCGACACCCTGGTTCGCTGTTGCCCTCTTAGGGTGGAGCACGGTTCTGACTCAAAGGAGACCCCTGCTACGGTGTTTGTTGAATGGATAAGTGAAAGAATGGCCTGCAGCAGTCAACTCTCTTCTCTGATGCAGTTCACAGCACTGACCCCAGGGCACAGCAGCCCCAGATCCCTGTCCCCCAGCGACTCCAGGGCAGAGGTCTCCAATCTCCGAAGTCAGCCAGGGCCAGTGTGGGGGTCGGGACTTCCTTCACCTCTGATAAGGTATCCTGAGAGAGGCCTTCTCAAGTGGCCTTCCATCTCCTGCTTTTGTCAGTCAGCTAGAAAGCCCGGTGCACGTGATCACAGATGGCGTTGACACTCGGCCTCAGGGTCTGAGGGTCATACAAAGGAGGGGGCCTGGGGGCGGGGGCTGCCCAGTGCACAAGTAGCTCCAGCTCACTGTTGTCAGGACAGGCTGTGGGTTCAGAGCTGCGGATTTTTCAAGGGAAGCTGGAGAAAGAAAAATGGAGACCCACCCCCACCCCACATACACACCTAGGTGTGTATATGAAATCTCCATTTTCAAAAAGAAAATGCTAAGTCAAATTGATTTTTCACAAGCCAGGTGTGACTCACAAGCCTCTGGTTTATAACCTTGGCTTTGAAGAGACTTGGGCGTGCAGTGACCCTGCAGCGAGTTCTGATTTCTGAATGATGAAATTGGAGACCAGAGCTGCACCAGTGTGCTGCAGGGGGACCAGTGGCAACGACAGTCCTTGTGGCTATGATATGTGACCACAGAGCAGGTGCCCACGAACCTTCACCTCACATGCGACGCTCTGTGCTTCAACCTCAAGGGCTGTCTTGGCGCCCTCCCGTTCCTGACGTGCACTCCTGGCTAATTCCCACTCCCGCAGGGAGCAGCACCCCCCGACTTCTGCTCTTCCTCTCGTGCTCACTCTGTGACTCAGTCACTGCTCCTGGACCAGAGACGAGGCAGGGCCGAGGTGCTCTGGGCCCTCTGTCCTCTCCTCTCCTGCTCCGTCATCGCCGCCTAAGACCGCTGGGGACGATCACGGGAGGAAGTGTAAACCTGAGGATTTACCACTCTCTGCGTGAACCTTGACAGCCGGGCCGAGAGCAACCCCAGGGGAGGGCAGGGAAGTCGGGCCCCGGCATTGAGCCTTTTCTCACCCTCCAAAAGGGAAGACAGCCCGATTGTTTGGGGTGCACCGCAGGGCTCGGGGCTGCAATTCCTTGTCTAGGGTGAGGCAGCTCGCCAGGCTGAGGCACAGGTCAGGGTCAGCCCGGCACCCCGAGGTCCCCCACAGCTCACCAGCTCCTCCCTCAGCCTGCCCAGTGTCTCGATGTGATTACTCCGTGCGCTCAGCATCACCGACAGCTTCTCCATGAGGATGTCGTATTTGCTCCTCCTGCGAGAGAGACACCACACGGTTGACTTCTTCAAACCCACCGCCTGGCCCAGGCTCAAGGTCTCAACCATCATCCACAGTTCAAAGGCGGAGAGACTGAGCAGTTCAGCCCCATGTCCAAGTTCCTGCGACGAAACTCTAGGCTACATTTGGATGAAATGACTTTTTTTTTTAATTTATTTTATTTGAAAGGTAGAGTTACAGAGAGATCTTTCATCCGCAATTTACTCCCCAAATGGCTGCAACAGCCAGGGCTTGGCCAGGCTGAAGCCAGGAGCCAGAAGCTTTATCCAGGTCTCCCACATGGGTACAGGGACCTGAGCACTCGGGCCATCCTCTGCTGCTTTCCCAGGCACGTTAGCGTGGAGTCAGATTGGAAGTGGAGCAGCCGGGACAAGAACCAGCACCCGTATGGAACGCCAGTGTTCCAAGTGGCGGCTCAACGTGCTCTGTGCACCACCATGTGAGCCCTGAGCCCTGACGTTTTTATAACACTTTGAAGTCTAGGAAGCTTTTCTTACAACACTTCCTTATAAATCACCCAGCACAGAAAGATGGAGATTATTACATCGAGAAGTGAATCAGCTTTTTCCAAACTTCAGGTCCAGGACGCTAGCCTGAGTCGTCCTTCCCTAAACCTGGTGCTTGCTTCACGCCCTCCTGACACTTCGCTCAGTCTGGAGCTGCTTTCCACCTGACCTCACAGCGTGCCCGATTCCACCTGTCAGCTCATGTCTATCGTGAAGTGGATGTTACAATAAATGCTTCCAGGCTCATGGTCACCAAAAGACGCGACTGAACAGCTCAGGGCTCCTGGCTGCGTGTGCCCTGGGGAGCCTGCAGCAGGGACACAGATCAGCTACACGAGGGCAGCTTGGCCTGACTCACAGTCCAAGGGAAAGGCAGAGCACACGGATGAGACCTCAACGTTGCACCCACTTCTCAATCGGTGAAAGAATGGATGAAGGGGTAGATATGTACAGCACATGACCTACCACGCATAGGCGCACTGAGTCATGGCCATCTTACACAGAAGAAACCACGGTCCATAGCAGTCAGCACCTTTGCCCAAGGGAAAGGCAGTAACTGGAGTACAGTGCCTGACTTGATCCGGGGCTTCCTCCCCTTCCCCAGGACTCTCACCCTATGTTCTTTGTAGATTACAGGCTGCCCACCAACTACAAGTGCAGTAACAGCATCATGTAACTAATGGATGGTGTGACTAATTAGAAATTAGAAGCCAATTCACCAAACAGAATTCTCTTCAATGCAGGTTTCCAAATCAGAGACTGAAAGATAAACTAGGAGTCTGGGACATTTTGATGGTGGGCGTGCTTAAAGGCGAGTCAGGACTACCAGACATGTGACCAGAGCACAGGGGCGGCTTTTGTTCCTGGAGGTCTGGAGTCAGGACAGGCTGCACATGAGTATCACCCACTGTCTGGGCCAAGCCCTGGGCAAGGCAGTAGGCACTGTCAACTTGAAAGGGACACTTAATCCTGACTGTTCACTCCCCTTCCTTTTGGAGGCTGGCCCTGGCCACCAGGGTCAAGGGCACGCCAGGGTCAAGGGCAGGGACTTCCTCAACCACCCTGTCCATCTGCTCACCTCCACTCCAGGCACTGGTGGCCAGGCGTGGGCCACTCAAAGGCATCCACTTGTCCTTCACTCCCTGCACTTGGCTTCTGTTCCTCTCACTCAGGAGGGTATATGGCTGCCAGAATTAGAGTGAGACCTCTGTGGGGTGGTGGAAGCTTTCTTTCTCCCATCGCTGTGCCAGAAAATTAGTCTCCCCAATAACAAGGATTAACGGGTGACAGGTAACTTACTCGCAGAGACACCCTGGTCCTCAAAAAGGAGTGCGCCTATTACAGCAGCCTGTGGTGTAGCACAGCCGACGTTATGATACCTAGCTAGAGTATCCTGCACTTAAGCACTTGGCAGAACCTTGCCTTCTTATCCTGGTAGGTGGATTATCATGGCTGTGTGTTGCAAAAACCTCCAATCTGAAATGGATATAATCCAACCACAACTCTGCCACCAAAGCAACTCAAGTTTGATGTTTTTTTTTTACACCCCTAAAAATGTTCTCACCAAAATGATTAAAGTTCCCATTGTTGAGCTACAGAGTAGCAGGCATTTTTTGTTTTGTTTTTGTCCTTTTCTAATTTCCAGGTTTTCTAAGTGAGCAGGACTTATTTTTGACAGAAACAGACAACTAAATGTCTTCTTTGGAAAGCCACAGTCATATTCTCATTTGGCCTCTAATGATTTTTGAAAGCATCACACACGTGGCTGCAGTACAAATCGCTGAAGGCTTTGTTCCCTCCACAGCATACCTGTCCACATGAAAGCGGTTGAGGAGGAGGAGGATTGAGTGCTGCTGGGCTCCAGTGGGCAGCCGGATCACGTGGGACTGCATTGTGATGAGCCCATTTTTGTTCAGAATTTTCCTGTGATAGTGAAGTTTTCCAGCATCAACCCTGGAGGAGAAGGAGGAGGAGGAGAGGGAGGAGGGTGTGGGTCACGTCGTTTTGGTTTGCTGGTAGTTTTAGCCCCACAGTGTAGGGAGTCTCTCCCTCAGACGTACGCACCAACACACACTGATCCAGCCAACCCAAGAGAACAGTCAGAGATTTAAAAAAGCCCCAGGGAAGACAAGGCAGCAGCCCCTGTATTTGGGAGGCAGGTTGCGGTGGTTAGTGAGCCCTACATGCAAATCCTCCCCCTTACTTGAAGGCACTGCTGTGCAGGTCTCGCTGCAGCTCGCCCTGCCACCTGGACCGGCCCAGTCGCTCCAGGATGCAGTAGGAGAAGTCGGGGAGCTTCAGGTCAGGATCCCCCTCCTGGCCTATCAGGGCCCGGTAACGCATGGCCTGGGAGGCAACGATGATCAGCTTCTTCCCCCACCTGCAAGTCAGAAACACCCACATGAAGAAACAGGTCGAAGCGATTTTACGAAAATGGAAATCTGAAAAAGCAGACTTAGACCATCATTGTCTGGGTTCCCAGAAGGCCATCATGCCCCTAAATTAAGCAAAGTAGGCCTGTGGTCCTAGAACCCCACAGTGCGCTGAAGGAACAGGGCCGACCTGTTACTTCCTGGCTGATGCCTTGCAGGGCTCGCCAAGGCACTCAGACCAAATCCACACTCCTTGCCCCGGCCTGGAAGGCCCTCCCTGCCTCGCTCACTTCATCTTCACCCACAGGGGCCATCTTGTGCCAGTAAGAAGTGTCAGGGTCACTATCCTGGCTCTTCTGTCTGCCAAGCTGCTGCCCTGTCCCCGATCCTCAGATGGCCGATTTCTTCCCATCACCCAGGCCTTCCAGAAAACGTCAGTCAGAGCTCCAGACCTGCTCAACCACTCCCATGTTCTTCACAGCACCTAGCACTCACAAACAGCCATCCTGGGGGTGTGGGCAACATTCTCATCCATCCCCCTTAATTCAAACGTGGGCACACCCCCAACTTGTTCATAAGGATTTCCTGAGTGCCTAGAATGAGCTGGGTACACAGTGGCCGCTCAGCACACACTTAAGTGAATGACCACGCTGAGTGCACTGGACTGATACACCTTCATTCAGCAACACCCAACTGTGCTGTCAGTGATTTCTCTCTGCTGGACAATAGACCTGATGGGTCAAAGATAATGTCCAGAAAGAAGGCAAAAAGTGTGCAAGCAAGGTGCTGCAAGACACCCCAACCAAGACGCCTCACTCCCATGCAGGGGCCCACAGTCCAGGCTGTGCACCGCTCCCACTGATGGCTGAAGCTCCACCTCCTCCAGCAGTACCTGGCCTGAGTGAGGCTCATGCCTGGGACAGAGCGACCCTCTCCATCCACACTCTAGGAGCCCAGCCCTGGCCCTGCAGCAGGGAGCTGCACAGGAGGCGCTGTGGAGAGCACGCACCTCGCTCACCACGTGGTATCAAGTTACTGGACCAGAGGCCTCCCTTTAGGTCCACATGCCACAGCTCATGGGCTCCCAAGCCCTTGCCTCTCCCTTCTTCCTGGCCCTAGCCTGGCCACACCGCCCAGCCCTGTCTGGCCTGATGGCTTTCCTTCCCCCTGATTCCACCACCAGGCAGACAAAAAGAAAAAGGAAGAAGCTGTGTGAATACACTGTTTGGGCCTATAATGAGTCGTCTGCGTAAGTCAGCGAGGACCGTATGGCCTGTCTTCCAAGTGGATGCTAACACACAGTAAACAGAGTCCACATGATGCTCAGGGTGACAAAACTCAGGATCCTTTTTCTCAAAACCCTCACTAAGTTAAATTCTAAGAGGTCACTTGGGAGAAAGTTTGAATGCAGGGAAATGGCTTTTCCACTCTTTAAGCTTTCTTACTCAGATGGCTTTCCTACCCCACACCATTGTAATTCCAATGACTCTGGACATCATGGGCAATTATCTGGCTCAGTGACTCCTGCTGGTTCTGGTTTGCTGACTGCGTCATCAGATACTGCCCAAGCATTGTGCCAAGTGCCAGAATGCTACGATAAACACAACCGGTCTCTAGCTTCAAGGGGCTGACCTCCTGAGGACCTGCACAGGGATGGCTCTGTGGCCCAGGGCCCGGCTAGGACAAGAGAACAAAAGGCAACTTCCAAATGTCAGTTGCCTGCCACAACCAAGCACACAAACAGAGGGGAAGATAGGAGCCCTGACCTCAATCAGCCCAGCTGCGGTGGGGTGAAGCGGGCTGAGAGCTGGCTTAGAGCAGGGTTGGCGACCTCCAAGAGACGCTGGGGCCAAAGATCCGAGCCGAGTGCTCTGACCACACCCCTGACGTGAGGGGTTCCTGATGGGGGTGAACAAGTTACCTGTCAAAGGCTTCCACCATCGTACAGCGCGGCTGCAGAGACTTGGTCCTGATGTCGCTGGTGATGTTCTTCCTCTCCTTAAAGTACCGGCACGAGCCCTGGATGCCATCCTTGTTCTCTAAGATCATGTGAATGGGGTAGACATCCTCCAGAGGGACCGGGTCCCTCCTGGACTCCAAAATGCCAGTCTCCAAGTCAATCTCCTCGTACCTAAGGGGAAAGGCACAGGTGGCAAACCCAGCTGAGCTTCGGCAATGACGCCTGCGCAGTGAGTGCCTCTGACAGGCTCCAGCCGAGATCGGAGAGAAGAGCTGAGACTGCAGTGTCCCTGCCTCCAAGATGCAAACGGCCTTGACAAGCAGGGTCCTGCCTCTTAACAACAGAGAAGAGAGAACACGGACCTTCCCGGGGTCCCCCAAGCTGGCCCCAGAAGCTGGGTGCTGGGACCCAAACTGCCTTACTGGCCCCAGTCACGGCCCCCTTTGGTTTTCCTCCAAACTTGGTCGCAGGTCTCCAGGTCACCATGTTGGGACTGAGCGACTCAAGGCATTCCTCCCCTAAGACATCACCTGTCCATCTCTTGGGTACCTGTATCTGCTTCCATGGTGTTAATCATCACCCTCATGTGAACCATTCTCACCTCTGAATCCTCAGCCCTGTTTGTGCAATGTCTCCAGTTGTCTATCAAATCCAAGGTTATGAGTGCCCCTCCCCCCTCCAATCAAGTACCTCCCTGGTGCGACACTGTCCCTTGGCCTCTCAGCATCTCTGACACGTGCTTCCTCTCCTAGCCAGTCAGCCCCGTAGAGTGAGCTTTCCTTTGAAATCTCATTCACACCCTGCACTAGTCTAGCAGAGGCTTGGTCTACATCCACTTTTCAAGCCCTTTCTTGCCCCCCTCTGGGACCTCTGTGTTCTTCTATTTTTCTTTTTTTTGTTGTTGTTGTTGTTTAATTTTACTTATTTGAAAGGTAGAGTTAGAGAGAGGGAGAGACAGAGAGAGAGAGGTCTTCCATCCGCTGGTCCATTCCCCAAACAGCTGCCAACAGCTGGGGCTGGGCTAGGCCAAGGCCAGGAGCCAGGAGCTTCCTCCAGGTCTCCCATGTGGGAGCAGGGGCCTAAGCACTTGGGCCACCCCCTGCTGACCTCGCAGCTGCACCAGCAGGTGGACACGAACCGGTGTCCATATATGATGCCCTGCTACACCACAGCACCGGCCCCCCTCTGCATTCTCAAATCCCATCTTCTCCCCAGCTCCCAGGAAACCACTCTGGCCGGACTGCCCGCCCCTCTGCAGTGACGCCTTTCTGTCTTCTGTTGAAGGCTCCTCATCCTCCACGCAGCTTGCAATGTCCACGCACCTCAGAGCTCTGCTGAAGGCCGCTGACCAGAACACAGTCCCCACCACATGCTGATTTCACTTTTGACTTTGTGCAAAAGTCAACCCGAACACAACCATCCTACTTGTCACTGCAGTACAGCATTCCATAAACGCCTTACTGCACACCGGGCTTGTGCTGATTCTGCCCAGTTGTAAGGTAAAGTGTCCTGAGCTCGGTCAAGGTGGCTTGGCTAAGCCACGGTGTCAGGCTGGGTATGTGGCCTGGATGCACTTCTAACCTAGCCTGGGTTCACTGGGACACAGACCTAACGTAAGCCCAGGAGCACTGGCCCCGCTCTCTCCTAGGGATGATCTCAGCCAACGGCTTTCATTACCAACGACAGGGGATGACTCACTGATGTCTGGCTCCGTCCCTCCCTCTGACCTGCTTTAGCTCCTGTGAGGCCTGATGTTTACTAAACAGAGCTTGCACTCGGACAACCTGAAGGAGCCTCATCCCACCTCCCAGCCCTGTGCCCCCACCAGACACACGCCTCGAGGCTGCTCAGCTGTGTTCCCTGCCTCAGGGGAGGGTATCGGGATTCACTCAGGGGCCCAACATCCTCCTAGAATCCTGTCTCTCCTCACAGCCGATCAGCCACCAATCCTCTGGACTCTGCCGCCGTGGCTGTCTGGATCCTCTTTCCTTAGCCTCTGTTCCACACCTACGATGGCAAGCTGGCCCCCGCCTCATTGCTTATAACCAGACTGCAACGAGGCGCTCAGCTTCACTCTTTGGGTCTGACCCTCCCTTGGGTGGCTTCCCACCGTCCTTTTGATAAGGGAGAAACTCTGGAAGTGGGATTAAAGAATGGTTGATTAGCTTCTCCAGTGCAAGGCAGAGTGGATTCTGGACCTAGAATTTCTGCATTCAAATTCTGGGTTCTGTTCTTTCTTTCTTTCTTTAAGAGACAGAGTTACAGCTAGAGAGAGGGAGGGACAGAAAGAGAGGCCTTCTATCCTCTGGTTCACTCCTGAAATGGCCACAACAGCCGCAGCTGGGCCGATTTGTAGCCAGGCACCAGTTTTTCTGGGTCTCCCACGTGGGTGCAGGGGCTCAAACACTTGGGCCATCTTCTGCTGCTTTCCCAGGCCATAGCAGGATCGGAAGTGGAGCAGCCAGGACTCGAACCGGTGCCATGTGGGATGCTGGCATTGCAGGTGGATACTTAACCTACTACACCACATTGCCGGCCCTGTGCGTTCTGCTCTTGCTAGTTGATGACCTTGAACAAGTAACTTAGCCATTTTGTACCTTGACGTTCTCTTCAGGAAAACGGGGATAACATTACCCACCTCTTAAGGTTGTTGTAAAAATGAAACAACTTACTATATGTAAGAATCTTAGAACAGGAACTGGTATTGTGGTGCAGTGGGTTAAGGTGCTGCCTGTGACACTGGTAGATGCCAGCTCTCCTTCCAATCTAGCTCCCCACTAATGCACCTGGAAAAACAATGGAAAATGACCAAGTGCTTAGGCCCCTGCACCCACCAGATGAAGCTCCTGGCTTTGGCCTGGCCCAGTCCTGGCCGTTGTAGCCACTTGGAGTGTGAACCAGCAAATGGAACACCTCTCTGTCTCTCTATGTAATTCTGCCTTTCAAATAAATAAATACATCTTAAAAAAAATAAAAAGAATCTTAGGGAGTGAGCCCTGTGGCACAGCGGGTTAAGCCTGGGTCTGCAATACCAGCATCACATATGGACACCAACTGGAGTCTTGTCTGCCCTACTTTCCATCCAGCTCCCTGCTAATGCACCTGGGAAAGCAACAGAGGAGGGCCCAAGCCCTTAGGCTCCTGCACCCACATGGAAGACCTGGAAGAAGCTCCTGGCTCCTGGCTTTGGCCTGGCCCAGTCCTGGTCATTGTGGCCATTTGGGGGGAGTGAACCAGTGGATGGAAGACCTCTCTCTGTCTCTCCTTATCTCGCCAGAACTCTGCCTTTCGAATAAATAAATAAATTTTTTTTAAGAAAAGTAATATTTAATTAAGTCAGAAACCTCCTGCCAGAGTGGCCTGGAGGGGAGCCCCAAGAGAGGCAAAATTCCAATAAATAAATCTTTAAAAAAAAAAAATAAGAATTGGGGCTAGCGGTGTGGCATAGCGGGTAAAGCCACCGCATGAAATGCCATTGCGGCCAATTGGGGAGTGAACCAGCAGATGGAAGACCTCTCTTTCTCTCTCTGCCTCTCCTCCTCTCTCTGTGTAACTCTGACTTTCAAATAAATAAATAAATCTTTAAAAAAAATCAAGCTTCTAAGGGCTGATGTTATGGCGCAGGGGTTAAGCCTCTTGCCTTCAGCACCAGCATCCCATATGGGCACCAGTTTGAGTCCCGGCTGCTCCACTTCCAATCCAGCTCTCTGGGAAAGCAGTAGGAGATGGCCCAAGTCCTTGGGCCCCTGCACCCATGTAGGAGACCTGGAAAAAAAAATGCTCCTGGCTTTGGATTGGCACAGCTCCGGCCATTGCCACCAACTGGGGAGTGAACCAGCGGATGGAAGACCTCTCTCTCTCTCTCTGTATAACTCTTTCAAATAAATAAATCTTAAAAAAAAAAAAAATCTTAGAACGGTACCAACTCCTAACACACATCTGTGTGTCAACCCTTATTCCTCGTTCTGTCCTTCTACCCTACACTCCAGCCAAACTTCGTTCTCTTCCTTCGGCCTTTCACATTCCTGCTCTCTGTCCACTGTTCTCTTTGCCAACTGGCTGCCTAAATCCAACTTCCAAGCCTTGCCTTGGGCATCACCTCTGGGGACCGCCCCACCCTCACAATATGGCAGAAGAGCAGACTCTGGGGGCTGGCACTTGGTTCAGGGATAAAGACACCACCAGGCCTGCATTCCATATGGAAGTCCCCAGGGCTCCTGCCTGCCTCAGCTTCCAATCCAGCTTCCTGCCAATGCACACCCCCGGGAGGCAGCCGCTGATGGCTTAAGTACTTGGGACCCTGCCACCACATGGGAGACCCAGATGGTGTTCCACGCTCTTGGCTTTGGCCTAGCCCAGCAGGCCCAGCTGTTGTGGGCATTTGGGGAGTGAGCAAGCAGACGGCAGACCGCTGTTTCTGTCTCTCTGTCTTTGAAATCAATGAAAAGAAAGAAAAAAGACTCCGGAGACATACAGAATTCAAACTCAATGCTCTGTGCTTGACCTCTGTGCACGCCTCAGTTTACGCCCCTGTAAAGTGGGACAGACGACAGCACCTACTTCAGGGGGTCACGGTGTGGACCGACCTCCCCAAGCTCCTAAAACGGAACTGCAGAGTCGTACCGGGTCAGTGCTCGGGTTATCAGCGCGATTCCTAAACTGGCTGCCGTGCGCACTTGCCCTGGTCCAACCCTCACCGATCCATAGGAACTGCCTTCCTGCTCCCGTCCTATGTCCAATTCCATGGAAATACTCTCTGAATGCAGCCCGCCCGGATATAACGGGGTAACCATCAGATGATCCCCAGCTCCTGGGCCCCACCTGGTCCCCACACCAGGTGTTCCCCACCAGACTCCAGGTCTGGGTTTCTCCCGCCCGGGGTTCGCTCCACTCCCCGCCCTCTCCCCAATCCCATCAGGACCCGGGCCCTGCGCCCGCCCGCAGGCCCAGGCCGCTGACCGATCCTGGAGCTGGAGGTCCGGTCGCTCCCGAGGCTCTTCATAGAAGCTGATTCCTGGGTGCGTGGCAAGGGCCCGCCACAGAAACTCCTGCGTGTAGGGCTCCAACGGCAGAGGGAAAGGCGGCACGCGCGTTTCCAGGCGGCTCCACAGCGCGGGCAGACACAGGCCATCGAGCCCCTCCAGGGCCACCTCGTCCAACAACGACTCCAAGGCGTCCATTGCCCCTTCACTTAGCAGCCCCCGCGGCGCCTGCGCACCGCGCCGCCAGGCGGCCTTTCCTAGCGCGCCTGCGCACAAGGATCGGCGTCCGCCGGAGGCGGGTCGCACCCGGGGATCTGAGGAGGCGTTCTAGCGCGCCTCCGTGACGTCACTCGCTTTGGAGGCGGGCTCAGCAGCGGCGCTCCACCGCCATTGGTCGGGTGCCCTGCAGTAACCAGGGGAACTGCAAACAGTGTAGGGGCCGCTTCCGGTTCGAGCACCCGGAACCGCCGCCTCTAGGGATGGACGGTGAGTGTCTAAGGGCCCCTCCGGGAGGGCGGGCAGTTACTCTTAAAACATTCCTGAGCCTTCTTCAGACAAGGGCCTAGGCCGTAGACTCCTGGACCGCCAATTCCTGACTCAAGATGGTCTCCGATCTGAGGGAAAGGGAGAGTTAGTGGTCCGGGTTGGGGAGAAGCGGCTGGGGGAGTGGTCAGCGGTACCGAACCTGTGGTCGTGTGGGAACCCAGGACTGGCCAGGGTCTCCGGAAAAGGAGAAGTAGAGGGCCGAGGAGGATCTTGCGTGTCCCAGGAGGTTGGAACTGTGGGATCTGGGAGTTGGGATAGAGATAAGCGTGATTGTGGGTAGGGAGAGCAGTCATCGTTGCTCCTGGGAAGGGACTTAGCACGGGAGTGTGCGGTCTAGTGTTAGCAACAGCCCACGAGTGCCTCTCTAAGCTTCCTAGCAGCCGTGTGAGGTCAGGGTTATCCCATTTTACAGCGAGGAAAACGGAGGCTCCCGGAAGTTCAGTAACTCCCTAAAGTCGGACAGCCAGCAAGCGGCAGAGTGAGCGGGGAACCCGGACACTGACTCTGGAGCTGGATCACGGAGTTTGAGGTGTGGCAGGGTTTTCAGGGGGCTCTTGAGTCCAGAGGCTAACAAACGCGAGTGTCTGCAAGGACGAGGCTCCTGGGCTGGTTTGGGGCTGTGAATCGGAAGCTGGTCAGGCAGCTTCCAAGCCAGTTGTAGGATGTTTCTCAAAATACCCAGTTGGCCCGCCCGTCTGAAGGCCAGAGGCGGCCTGTGGGCCACCATTCAGGGATCCTTGATTGGATTCATGGCCTTGACCATGGGAAGGAACCTGAATGTAAAGTACAGTGTTATCTGACTTCGCAGATAGATGGGCCCGACTCATGCCTTAGAGTGAGCGCTAGATCCTTTTTATGCCACTGCCCCTGGTTCTCTGGAATTTGTTCCTGAAGAAATTGCCTGCCTTTGATACACACTGAACACAGCCTGGAAGAGTGCTTTTAGTCGAACGTTCTGGCTTGAGCTGTCAAGATACCTTTGCCCTTTGCCCTTCAGAGGTGCTCTAGAATGTCTCTCACTAGTTTGCTCCTTGGAAGGGTCAACTCACTGTTGCTACCAAACAATACTTCTCAATCCTCCTGGCCTCAGAACACCTTTATGCTCCTGCCTCCAAAGGGCTTTGCTTATGTGTTTTACATCTGTGACATTTGCCATGTCAGAAATTGAAACAGAATCGCAACACGTTCATTTATGGCTTCACTTAAACAGGACAAAAATAAGCCTGTTACATCCAAATATAGATACTATCTTTAATGGACAAGTAGTTGCATTTCCGCTAAAAATTTAGTAAGAAGAATGACTTTTGTTTTCATTTTTAAGATTTATTTATTTGAGAGGCAGAGTTACAGACAGAGGGATAGAGAGAGATGGAGAGAGAGAAAGAGGGAGAGAGAGAGAGAGAGAGGACTTTTCCACCCACTGGTTCTTTCCCCCAAATGGTTGCAGCATCTGGAGCTGAGCCTATCCAAAGATTCTTCTGGGTCTCCCACTTGGGTGCAAGAGCCCAAGCACTTGGGCGATTTTCCGTTGATTTCCCAGGCCATTACCAAGGAGATGAGTCGCAAGTGGACGAGCTGGGACTCAAACCAGAGCCCATAGGGGATGCTGGCACCGCAGGCAAAGGCTTAACCTACTGCACCACAGTGCCACCCCTGACATTGTTTTGTATTTTCTCAAATCTCTGTGGTGTCTGGTTTAATAGTAAGGAGCTAGACTTGTGTCGGCTTCAGCGTCCCAACTGTTTTGTCATGCTATTTGGGCTGATACATATGAAGACATACATACGAAGAAATACACATTCATACGAAGAAGTACACAAGCACTTGAACACACACATCATAGATACATCATTGGACCAGGGAGGGGTATTTTTAATTGCCTTTTTAGGTAACTGTAGACATTCTTTGATACTATAACAGAACTTAGCAAGTGGCAGTTTGTTAAAGCTTAGTCACAATAGGATATCTAGACCCTTATCATTAAGCTTTTGTATTCTGTTCCATTAAAATTTACTGTTCTACCTTTCCCTTTGAATATTTTACTCATAGGATTTTTTAAAAAGACTTTATTTATTTATTTGAGAGGTAGAGTTATAGACAGTGAGAAAGGTCTTCCATCTGCTGGTTCACTCCCCAATTGGCCACAATGGCCAGAGCTGAGCTGATCCAAAGCCAGGAGCTTCTTCCAGGTCTCCCATGTGGGTGCAGAGACCCAAGGACTTGGGCCATTTTCTACTGCTTTCCTAGGCCATAGCAGAGAGCTGGATCAGAAGCGGAGCAGCCGGAACTAGAACCAGCACCCACATGGGATGCTGGCACTGCACTCAGAGGATTAACCTACTGTGCCACAGCGCCGACTCCCACTCATAGGATTTTATAACATAAACTATTGGTCACTGGAAAAATGTTGGTTCACTGAAGCATGCAAATCTTCCACATGTTAACTTTTGAAATGTCATTGCACGGAATCAAAAAGTCACACTTGTTAATATCATCACCTATCTCACTTTTTAAAATTTATTTATTTTTTATTTTATTTTATTTTTTTGACAGGCAGAGTGGACAGTGAGAGAGAGATAGAGAGAAAGGTCTTCCTTTGCCATTGGTTCACCCTCCAATGGCCGTCGCGGCTGGCGCGCTGCGGCCGGCACACCACACTGATCCGATGGCAGGAGCCAGGTGCTTCTCCTGGTCTCCCATGGGGTGCAGGGCCTAAGGACTTGGGCCATCCTCCACTGCACTCCCGGGCCACAGCAGAGAGCTGGCCTGGAAAAGGGGCAACCGGGACAGAATCCGGTGCCCTGACTGGGACTAGAACCCCGTGTGCTGGCGCCGCAAGGAGGAGGATTAGCCTAGTGAGCCGCAGCGCCGGCCACCTTTCTCACTTTTTAAAAGAGTTTTTTAAGTATAGGGAAGCCGTTGAACTCCTGTGATGGAAACAAGTTTTCCACTTGAACAGTTTTGATTATTGACATAGATATTGTTGTTACCTTGAAGGGACAGACTCATTTGGTTCATATTTGAGAAAATGTCTGCCCCATGCCCAGCTGTGAGTGACTGTAATTTGTGTTAGTTGTTCATTCAAGGAAGAATGGCATTCCATACCGAAGGTGGTTAGTTCAGCTGGCAACTCAACCACAAGTCGGTTTTCTGGGATCAGCCATTATTCTTGGCTTGTAACAGAAATGCTTTATGTGTACTTCCCATGTCTTTATGCAGAATCTCATGGGCCATGGCTCAATAGAATCGTTGCTGTTTCCTGAGGACATTCTGAAATGAAAGTGATTTTTTTGTTTTTATTACGAGGTTGGGACAGTAAACAATATAATGGCTACAGGTATAGTTTGGCTGTGCTGCCTTGATTCAAGCTACAAGCAGTTCTAACCCAGGTTGGCTTGGCTTTGCTTAGAGAAGACGGATTAGAATTATGATGAGAGTAGTTTTCTCTTTGCATTCCTCTCCTCCTCCTAGGATCTGTGGAGCATGCTTTGAGAAACGTTGCTATACCAGGGAAGACCCAAGAAATTTGGTCTGTCCCTGACAAGGTAGAACTTGAAATTTAGATCTAAAGCAGGCTGCTTTAGTTGGTAATTTTGTGTGGCCCATGACTGATGTTATAAATGTCCAAATGGCCCTTGGTGGCAAGGGGTTCCTCAGCCCTGGAATAAACCATTTTCAAGAAGCCTGTCTTGTCCCTTTGTCGTCTCTGTACTCCCAGAATATGCCTTTGGCCTCATGGATGAATCTGTTGATTTTCAGATTGCTTACCAAGGGGAATAATTTATTCTAAGAAAGTATTTACCCTGAGATTAGCTATGACCTTCAAAGAAGCCCATTTTCTGTCCCTGTCTTTTTTAATTTTTGTAAAAAAAATGATTTTTAAAAGATTTTATTTATTTATTTGAGAGGCAGTTAGAGAGAAAGGGACAGATAGAGAGAGAGGTTTTTTTTTGTTTTTTTTTTGTTTTTTTGTTTTTTTAGAAAGATTTATTTATTTGGAAGTCAGAGTTACACAAAGAGAGAAGGAGAGGCAGAGAGAGAGAGAGGTCTTCCATTGCTGGTTTACTCCCCAGTTGGCTGCAATGACTGGAGCTGTGCCAAACCAAACCCAGGAGCTAGGAGCTTCTTCCAGGTCTCCCAAGAAGGTGTAGGGGCCCAAGGACTTGAGCCATCTTCCACTGCTTTCCCAGGCCATAGCAGAGAGCTGTATGGGAAGTGGAGCAGTCGGGACTCGAACTGGTGCCCATATGGGACCCATATGGGATGCCAGCCCTGCAGGCTGTGGCTTTACGCACTATGCCACAGCGCCGGCCCCTCCCAGTCTGTAAAATTGTGATTTATGCATAGTTGTATAGGCATGTATCTGTTGGGTAAAGTGAAGCAGGCCTTAAGGAACTGTGATTCTAGCCACCCAGAGAAGCTAACCCTGGCCCTCTTAGAAAGATGTTTACTTCCCAGACTGATGAAAGCCCCCCATGTCTAGCAGGTGTCCCCCATCCGGGTTATAGTTTGATTGATTCAGCATGCCCGGATCACTACAGCTTTCTAGGACATTCTCCCTGGCCCGTCGGATTTGACTTTGAGCAGCTCCCGCCTGTCTGTCTCGGTGACACGGTGTGTGATGCGCTGAGGTCTTAGGGGCCGTGCAGCCGTGGATTTGAATCCCAGACGTGTCCTTTGTCCTCTTGGAGCCTCAGTTTTGCTGTCAGTGAAATGGGATGATGAAGAAGACCCCGTTGTGTCATGTATTCAGTGAAGAGTGGATGAAAGAGTGTGCGGCCCCGTCTGGTGCATAAAAACACGGTTCTACATGGCAACGGGTACCGTGATTGTCTGCAGCTTTCCTCCGCCGTGCTCAGAGGAGACGGAGGCACTTCTGAGGAAGGTCTCTAGCAATTAGTGACCTTTGTCATTAGCTCACTCTTTGCTTAAGTCAAAACCCCGTGTTTGACATTTTTTTTAATTTACATAAAGGTAATTGGCAGGACTTGAGTATTTTTTCTGAAAATGCTCACCTTTGTGTTAAAGTCAGGTTTTCCCCTGTGCTTTTAAAGTATGAGATGGTTTAGGAGGAAAAAAAGAAGTACTCGGTCTTTGAGGAACATAATAATTAGACAGAAGTTCAGTGCATCCGTGTAATTAGGGAGGATTTTAAAGCTGTGCATTTGCTTTTGCTGGCCCCAGAGCAAATACTCAACACTTGCCTGTTTGTACTGTTCATTTGCTTAGCAAACTTTCTCAGAGAATTAATAATACCAACATGAAATTTCACCCGCCTTGTCCAAATAATCCCGAACTATCAAAAAGGCGCTGGGTGATTGGTGAGATTTGGCTGCAAGTCTGCTATCTGTGTGTCTGGCCTGTTCTGTCGTGTGTGGTATTTACCTGGGCTCCTGGTGAATTGTTTGTTTCTCTTGCTACTCAGAATAAACCAGGCAAAAACCAGACAGAATAAACCCCAGCAAGTATTCAGTAGGCCAAATAAATGTGCGTTCCGCATGGTCTGTGTGTCTGTCGTGTTGTCTTCAT